AATTTGGTGGGATCCTGACTATAGCTCCTCAGTCCTTGACTTCTTTCCTTCTGGCTGCTTGCAGTATTTTTTCCTTGACCTAGAAGTATGGATTTTTGCTATAGTGTTCTTGGAAGTTTTCATTTTAGGGTTCCTTTCAGTGAGTAACTAGTAAATTCTTTCAATTTTTTCATTACCCTGTGGTTCTAAGATGCTGCGTGATTTTTTCCTTTTATGATTTCTTGAAATATGTCTAGCTTCATATGTATAATTGATATCATATTGCTTACCTTCTCAAGAGGTGGGGGAGAGACAAGAGGGAGGGGCAGAATTTGAAACTCAAATTTTTTAAAAAATGAATGTTAAAAAAATTTTTTGCATGTAATTGGGAAATATTTAATGAAATAATTTAAAAAATTTTAAAAATATAAATATTATGTCTAGGCTCTTTTTAAAATTTGTGGCTTTCAGGTAATCCAATGATTTTTAAGCATCTTTGCCAAGAAAACCCCAAAGGGGTCATAGAGAGTCAGACACAAGGGAAACAACTGAACAACAACATATAAAATGTGATGTCAATTTTAAAGTCCAGTCAGTTGGCAACATTGATTAAGCACCGACTATATGTCAGGCACTGTGCTCAGTGCTGGGCATGCAAGGAAAGACACAAACATGCTACTCGGTCAGTGTGAGCGGTATTTTTATCGTGGAGGACTTGTCTACAAGGTTGCCCCCACAGAGGCCTGCCCAGGCATTGTGGGGCGTGCTCATCAGACTTCTCTTATGACATGTTTGTTTTATCATATGCTGCTTTTTAACCGAAGCTCTTCATGTACTGCCCTTTCTCCCTTATTATCAGACTGTAAATTCCTCGAGGTCAGACACGGACTATCTTTTATTTATCCTTGTGTTCCTTTAGAGCCTTGCACATAGTAAGTACTTAATCAGTGTTTGCTGTGTGAGAAATCTCTTTTGTAATGTCTCACTTTAAAATACAGTGTCTGCTACAGTTTCTGGGCCAGTGACTAAATTTAGCTCTTCTGTAGTTAACAATTCAAACTTGACGACCACCTCCTATGTAGGAGGCCCAGTACTAATAACACAACACTAGTTACACGCCTTAGCTACAAGCTGCCCTCAGAGGGGGTATCATCCAGCAGGTGATGCGACAAACATGATGGATTTAAATCAAATTATAGCCCAGGTAGAATTAAAGGCTTTAAGTACAAAATAGAGCTAAGGCACCTGAACTGGGGTCAGCAATCTACAAAACATCTACAGGTGTGTGTGTGTGTGTGTGTGTGTGTGTGTGTGTGTGTGTGTGTGTGTACATGCATGCAAGCGTGTATTTGGGTACTTTAGTGGGAAGCATGTAGGTTGAGGGCGTACAAAAGTTAATAGAACAGGCTTGGAGAAGGAACACCTCCCCTTGCCCCACCTGGCCATTTATTTGTTCACACGAAGGGCCCTCGACATTTGCACTGGCAGGCATCTGCTATGCAGTTTGTGCCCCTGGGCCTCCCCACTTGAGCTTGGCCAGGACAATCCAGCAGCTTCCCAGCCACTGTCTCTGTCCTTTCTGACTGTCTCCGGAGAGAGAGCCTCTGCCAATCCTCTGGACCCTCCCTCCATTCCACCCTGGAATGGAATGAAATAACGAAGATTTGGCAGACTTCTTCAAAAGGTTTCTGCCCACTGGGTTAAACTATCCAGACTCCTTTCTTCTCCTCTGATGCATATCTAGGGTTGTTCTACACAGTAGAATTGACGCATAAGTGTAAAGACCATAATCAAATCAGCCTGCTTGGCCAGTGGCATTAGCCCACAGAGCTGACCAAACTGCTTTGTGATCTTCAGCAGGGCCTCTCTCCTAAAGGAACAGAAGCTGCAGGTCTTTCTGCTGATACAATGTGATGATTTGTCCTGTTGTTTGAGGGACAGATGGTCGGCCCAAGGAAGACCACCTAGCTCCTGCGTGCTGCATCTTGGGAAGAAACCAGCCATGTGTGTTAATCAGGTGGAGGCCCTGAGTCAGACTTCTGAAATGAAGTTTTGGAAGAAGTGCTGTTGTTACTGGGCAGGTGATAATTTCCGGGGCATGACATCATAATGGCTTCATCTCAGTGTAGCTGTTGAAATGTTGTCTTGCAGTTATATTGCAGTAAGAATGTGTGTACTTGCAGCTTTGAGGGATGAGTGGGAATAAATGACCAGGTTTGGGGATCAGTTGTCCTGAATAGCCCTTTTCTCTTTTCCTTTCCCACTGCTCCCAGGGATGCACTAGAATCCTCTGGTGAGGGGGTCGTAGTAGCATCTGTTTAGAATTAGAACGAACTCAGAGGTTATCTCATCTTATTCATTTACAGATGAAGAAATGGAGGCTCACAGAGGGTGACTCAGACAGATAGTGAGTACGTGGCAGAGCCAAAAACCAACTCCAAGTCCTCTGTCTTTAAATGCAGCCATCTCTCATCTGTACTTGGATGAGAGCATCACTGGGGAGCTCCCTTGAGAAGCAGAGAAACACTGTGGGTGTCCTTTGAATGCCTGGCATGTCCCTGACACAGTTCTTTACTCTCAAAAAGGCAAAGCAGCATGTCCATTGGATACAAAGACCCAGAACTCACAGTATTTTTAGTTTACTTCTATATTTTCTCTTTACCCTAATTGAAATTGGTTTGTGTTCAAAGACCCTCGTTTTCCTCAAAAAAAAAAAACAAACCCAGACCAAAAAACCCTTGCTGATATAGTATCTCTTAGAGACAAAGTGATTCTGTTTTGGGGAAGTTAGAGGAAAACTAGATAATGATGATGAGATTTTTAAAATTAAAACAATTTTTATTGTAAGTGTAACAAAGAACAAATATAAATAAGATAAAGAATAAAACCACATTCTGATCTGTTTACGTTTTTAAAAGAAAATAATATAAACTTTGGCAAAATAATGTGACAGCTTATTTATTGTCTCCTGATATCTTTTCTCACTCTCCAGTGTCATTGTGGCTTTTAAATGATCATAATCATTGTATATGTCACTCTTCTGATTCCATTTCTTTGGTTTTTATTAATGGTGATTAAATTTCTATCTGCTATTGAAGAGTCATCTCAGGAAAAAAAATAAAGATTGTCATTCCTACCCTATCTTTTCATCCCCTTTCTCATGCCTTATCCCTATTTCCAACTGTTTAATGAATGTGGGAAGGGAGATATTACCAGTTGAGATCTTCTTGTGTGTTTGGCCAAATAGTCTGGACTTGGCTATTTGTTTAACACTTCACATCCCAATTTTCTTTGAGTATTTGAATCATTCAGTGAAAAATATTTTTAGTTTAACATTTAAGTTCAGAATTCTTTACAAATATTTTCAGAAAACTTTTTCATCCCTCACTTGGTATCCTGCCTTCATAGAGAAGGAGGAATCAGAAATGAGCTTCCACGTTTTATAGGTGAGACAAATTCAATCATAAAATTTTGCCTAAGGTCAGAAAATAAGTCAGTGATAAAACTAAGAATGTACTTGCTTCTCATCTAGAGCCATTAAATTCTACCTCAATCTGCTATAATCCTACTCCCCTTTGTCACATATTGGATTAGGTTAAAAAAAAACAACAACAATCCGGTTATAAGAAAAGTAAGATTTATCCCTATGAGATTAATTTTTCCCCAAAGGCAGGAACTATGTGTTATTTTACCTTCGTATCCCACTGCCTTAAGCAGTTCCTTGTACATTCAGTTGTTTCAGTTGTGTCCAACTCTTTCTGACCCCATTTGGGGTTTTCTTGGCAAAGATACTAGAATGGTTTGCTAATTCCTTCTCTAGCTCGTTTTACAGGTGAGGAAGCTGAGGCAAACAGGGTTAAGTAAGTGACTTGCCCAGAGTCACACAGCTAGGAAGTATCTGAGACTAGATTTGAATCTTGGCTCTTCCTAACTCCAGGCCCTCCTTGTACATAGTAGGAACTTAATAAATGTGTCTAAAATTGAATCTAGCTCTTGCCGTGTCTATATTTCCTTGAAATGATGAGGGTTTAAGGGGCAGCTAGGTGGTGCAGTGGATAGAGCACTGGCCCTGAAGCCAGGAGGACCTGAGTTCAAATCCAGCCTCAGACCAAACACTTGACACTTACTAGCTGTGTGACCCTGGGCAAGTCACTTAACCCCAATTGCCTAAAAAAAAAAAAAAGAAAAAGAAATGATGAGGGTTTATTAGGTTATTTTGAGTTCTTCATGAGAAAAGTATACTGTAAATCCAAGGTAAATTTTGTTACTTGATTATTAAAAGTTCATTGATGTATTATGACACCATCATAGTTCTCAGATTCATTAACTTTTTAAAATTGCAGATGCCAAGTTGCTTATATAATCCAACCAATTATCTATACTAATGGAAAGGAGAAAAAGCATGAAAAATGTAAAAAGTAAATAGTTAAATCATTTACATTTAGTTTTAGAAACTCTTTTTCTGATGATCTTGGCTTGATCCTGCCTTCCACTGGTCACCCAGGGCCAAGCTGAGCTCTAAGAAGAGGAGGTTTGACGTGGAGCCAGTCAGTAAAGTGGATAATCCACAAAATGAAGAAAAGATTACTCATTAAGGACTTTGCTGTCACCAAGTGTACTCTTAAGCGTGTAATGTCTGGAGGCACCCTTAACTGTTATTCAGATTTCCCAACTTAAAAGCATTGAATTTGGCTAGCTTACTAGTATAATTGGTGGTTATTCAGTAACAAATTAATTCAAGTGAATCAGCCTTTCAGCCATCAGCTCTTGCAATTTCTGGCACTGGGACATGACCTTGTAGCCATTAGCTGAAAATAGAAATTGATTAAATAAATGCAGCTGTAAAGGAAGTATCAACATTGTGACAATATACTGATGCAGTCATTTTTCAAATCTTGGTAAAAATGTGCATATTATCCCTTCCCATTAGGAAGGACTTTTCATTGATGTTATAGAGGCCTGTCCTGAAACTCTGGCCTTCAGCCAAACTTTTTTCTATTTTATCATTTCTTCTTGTACAGGAATTCAGTCACTGTTGTCAGGATTCTCTGGGAAGCTGACTTGGCCTTCAGAGGAAGCTCACTGTGCCCAGGACCTGGCAGGATTGGCATCCTTTCAGATAAAAATTGAGGCAAGTTTGGGAAGTACTTCTATAAACTCTTGTGTTTACTTTTTTAAAAAAAAGTACAGTAGTAGATGTAATTATAATGACCAGTCTTTACCCTTGAGAAGAGATGAAGAATTCTCTCCTTTTTTTCCACTTAGCAGCTACATTTAACACTGCTGCCCATTCTCTTCTCTCTGGGTCTTCATGACCCTAATGTCTCCTGGTCCTCCTCATTTTCGTCTTCTGGCCTGTTGTTTGTATCACTCCCCCTAACTGTGAGTGTTCTTCCTCAGGGCTCTGTCCTAGCCCTCTTCTCTCTTTCTCTCTCAAGGGTTCTTCACCTGGGGTATGGGAACTTGTTTTTTAAAAGATATTTTGTTAACTGTATTTCAATATAATTGGCTTTCCTTGTAATCCTATATGTTTTATTTTATGCATGTTAAAACCTTACTTTGAGAAAGGGTCCATGGTTTCCTGCTTCTTGACACACAAAAGACTCTGTTGCTGATCTTCCCTCTGTCTCTTGCAGTGGCTTTCACGGATTTCACTGTCCCATCTCTAAAGATGATTCTTAGGTCTGCCTTTCTAGCCCTCATCTTTCCCTTGAGCTGGAGCTCAGCAGTTGTCTACTGGACGTTTCAGACTGGATGTCCCCGAGACATCTCAAACTCAACTTGTGCTAGACCTAAAAACCCGTCTTCCAACTGCCCTGTGGAAGGTACAGCCGTTTCCATAATTCCCCCCTGGTTGCACCCTCAGTGTTGGCCTCCATGCCTCCTTCTCCTTTACTGGACACATCCGATCACTTGCCAAATCTTGTCCTTTCTACCTTCATGACATTTCTCGCATTCCCACCCCTAAAGAGTGGATGCTGTTGGTACTCTCAGGATTCTGTCATGTAAGGAAGGGGCTCCACTGCTGTGCTCCCCACTTATAATGAACTCATTGAATACCTTTTAGAAAACACACTTACTGAGAAAGTAAAGCAAAAGCAGTTTGGTGCAAACGTTCTCCTCAACCTGGGAGTGTGCTCTTCCCCACCCACACAAATTCCCTGGGGAAAGAGGGCACCAGCTGAAAGTACAGTTGTGGTGAGATGCATGGGTCGGCAATCCGTGTCAAACGGGTGTCTCTGAGCTCCTCCCTTTGAGGAGGGGCTCTCTCCTTAGATATGGCTCTCTGCCACATCTGTGGGTCAGTGCACAGATTGTTCCCCAAAGAATCTCCCTCCCTAAAGTTGTTGCTATCCTTGGACAACCATCCTTGCTTAGCCATCTGTAGAGACTTCCTCTGCTAATTACCACAACCTCTGCTGCCACTCTGGATCACTGAGACTCACTTGAAATGCCCATCTCAAAATACACATTTTCTTAATATCAGGAAAGAATGAACGCAGTAGCATCCGAAGTTCCAGATGCACGTGGACTCATGGTGGCCAGGTGAAGGAATCTGCCATCAGCTCAAAGCAATTCTTCTCGCTTGGAGCTGTCAAAGGAGATACTTGAGAGAGTGGGGTTTCATACCTTACTTATGTGCAGTCAGTTCTGGCTCAGCAGCTCCTGAGTCATTAGTTTTTCTGGCTGTTCAGCTGATTAGAAAACTTTTTGTCATCACGCAGTACCAACTGTTTCTGTCACTGATGGCTGGAAACCAGTTCCCCAAAGTTCCCATGTGGTTGCATAAGAATCATGCGGTAAGTATCCTCACATGCTCTAAGGACTGAGTCCCAGCAGAGATCTGTGCATACTTCAAGGCCTGGGACCAGATCCAGAATATCTAGGTATGCTTTAAGAACCAACTCGCCTAGGCCAGACCAGCCAGCTGATTAGTCAAGGAAGAGAAGATTTAGGGGGACATGACAGCTGTTTTCAAGTATTTGAAGAATTGGGAAGTAAAAGAGGGATTAGATATTTTTGCTCTGGCCCTGAAGGACAAAACTGGCAATAGTGGATGGAAATTGCAAAATTAGGGCTCTAAATGAGTAAAAATCTCCAAACAAATATGACTCTACAGAAGTAGAAAGGGCTGCCTGGGCAGATGTTAGGTGCCCTCTCACTGTAAATTTCCAAGCAAAGAGTGGCTGATTATTTGTGAGGAATGGGACAGGGAGGAGCCTTGGTCAGAGCCAGGGGCTGGTAGCTTAGTACGGTAGTAGGAACACTGGTTCTCGGGGTCAACATTCTAGTTTCAGATCTAATTTCTGCTGCTTATTATATACCCTTTTCTTTATCTGTAAATTGAAGAGGTTGGATCAGTTGGCTTCAGAAGTCTCTTTAGACTCGGAGATTCTTTGGTTCTGTGAAAAAAAGAGCTTGGCATCTCTTCCCCTGCCCTAAGTGAATTTTGAACTTCTAAGGAAGTTGAGCAGCAATGCCTCTTTTGGTATTTGTTAATAATAATGTTTCACATTCCTATAGTGGGTTAAGGTTTACAAATCCCCCTCCTCCCTACTGCCCTGCTGGAGACTCAGTACAGCGATTATTCCCATTGTATAGATAAGAAAAGGAAAGCTCCGAAAGAAGAGATGATCTGCCTGGTGTCCTGGAGCCAGGACATTCATGAGCTGTCCTTTCACCCCAAGTGAACCCCACCCTGACTCCAGGGCCAGGATCCTCTTCAGAGCCCTGTGCCACCTCCTGTGGATCCCTGCTGCATTGAGGAGAGGCAGAAAGGCACAGCGGGCAGAATGCTGCTCTTGGAGCCAGGAGATCAGAGTTCACAGCTTGTCTCAGACCTGAGCAAGTCACTGAGTTCCCTTAACTGTCAATAGGGATGATGTTGTGAATAGGAAATGAGATCATACAGATCTTAAAGTGCTATGCAAACGTGAGATATTCAACACTTTCAGTGACAGAATTCAGAATACGCAGAACAGTAGAGGACTTGGGTTCCCTGGGATATGCAGGAATTTTTTCTCCTTTAAGTGGATCAAACATTGAGGAAGCCTTGGTAGCCTTTTCTAGCAGACTGATGAAAATAGACCTCTTAAGAAGGCTTAAGGACAATGCTGAGAAAACAGGTATTCCTTGTTGTGACTTATCTCCTTTAGGGGAATACGAAACAGTAAAGGTAATTGCCGAAGACCGAGGTAGGCATTTCTAAGAAAGTGTGCCTTTGCTGATCCAGGAAGCTACAGAGACATAAGATAAGTAAAGGGAAGGTTCCCAAAGTACTTGTGTTAGTGGGGGTGGTCATGAGGAGTCATTCAGAGGTAGGGTGGAGCCTGCAGCCAGCCGGGAGTTGCTTGGCTATTCAAGAGAGCTGATCCCGTTGAGGAATGTGCTTAGCCCAATTCAGAAGAGCCAGAAGCTTGTTTCCATAGAGACGTCAATCCACTGGGGTTCACTGGAGATATGTCTTCTTGACCTGGAAAGGCTGTCTTCTTAGTACTGACTTTTGCATCATCCTCAGAGAGTTGATGGATATCCTTTGAGTCAATGATAGTATAAAAGACTCCTCTATTCTAGAAATACTCAATGCTACAATGACTAATGAGCAAAAAGACTCTTCACATGTGTATTTTTCCTGCAGATATTTTTGTTCAGTTGTTTCAGGTGTGTCTGACTCTATAGTATAAGGAAGAACCTTGCCCTGTCCAGTAACGTTGAGCCATGGTGTTATGGGATGGTACTTGTTCTCTTTACTGGCTTGTGTCCATTCTTCTAATCTAGAGGCTCCTTCATCTTGATTCTTTCAATCAGTAAGCACTTCTTTTTTTTCTTTTTTCATAAAAAGGCTAGTATATTTCTTATGAAAACATCTTCCAGGTTTCTTTCAGTTTACAATATTCTATTTTCATGATTTATAAAGCAATTAAGCAAAATTTCATTATTCTGAAATAAAAGGACACAGAAAAAATTTTAATCTGTAAAGTATGTAGACAATAAAATTGTCTTATTGCTATTTTTCCCCATCATAATGTATAAAACGACTTCAACATTTAACAATGAAATGAAAACATGGACAACATGAATGTCAAATTAGAGTTTGGTTTAGCACTTCCCTGGGTCTCTGATTTGCAAAGTCACATGTAAGGCTTGACTTAATACTTGACTTAAAGGTCCTGGCTGCCCACTAACTACATGCATAAAGAACCATTTTGACATGATCCAGCAGGAAGGCTCATGTCCTAATAGTATTCCCTATAAAGAAAGTCTCTTTGAAAGCAGATGTTAGAGCCTCTGCCCCTGGGGGAAGGGCAGTTGGCAGCCCACAAAAAATGATCACTGAGTACATGGGGCTTATCTCAGTAAGCACTTTCTTTTTCGGGGGGAGGTGAGGCAATTGGGGTTAAGTGACTTGCCCAGAGTCACACATGACACTCGCTAGCTGTATGACCCTGGGCAAGTCACTTAACCCCGACTGCCTTGACAGAAAAAACAAAAAAACAAAAAATTAAATGTATTTGTTTTGTTACATTTTAAGTTCCAAACTTTGCCCCTCTTTTTCTCCCCACCCCGCCCTAGAGAAGATGATCATTTAACACAGATTTACAAATATATGTAAAACTATCCTATGTATACTTCTGTTTATCAGTTCTTTCTTTGGAGATGGATAGCATCTTCCTTCATAGGTTCTTTGTGGTTGATTTGAGCATTGGTCTGATCAGCCACAGTCAGACACACTGTAACTTGACTCTAACATAGTGATGTCACTTTGGCCCTCTTCAAGAATGAAGGACAACCATTGTTGATTTGAGGATTTATAATACTCAGAAAGACTTGGTTGTTCAAAATTATACTTCTAACAATATTGTTGTTACTGTATACAATGTTCTCTTGGTTCTACTCACTTCACTTTTCATTATTTCATGCAAATCTTTCCATGTTTTTCTAAAATCTACCGGCTCATCATTTTCGTACAGTACAGCAGTATTCCATCACAATCATATACCACAACTTGTTCAGCCATTTCCCAGTTGGTGGGCATCCCCTCAATTTCTAGTTCTTTGCCATCACAAAGAGAGCTGCTATCAATATTTTAGAGCGTCTAGGTTCTTTTCCTTTTTCTTGATCACCTTGGGA